TAAGGTGTCTGATCAAGAAAGTATACAACCAACTAATATGATTATTCATTCTCTTACAAATTCTCTACTCAAAGAGTAGTTCTCTTAGAAATAAGGAGTAATTAATTTATGATTTAAAAACATAATATATTTTATTTTAATTAGAATATTATTAGAAGTGTTACATTATGAGATTGTTATGTATGATTATTGATTTTAAGCAAATATCTTAATATTGTGATTTTTTAAATTTGTTATATTTATTAATTAAAAGTAATTTTTTTATAAAAATATTATATAATATACTGATAAATTAAAAAAATTAAGTACAATTTTAATTATAAGAATTATATAATTTTAAATGCATATATTTAAAGAGGATTCTAAAATTGCAAGCAATTTAGTAGAGTTTTAACGCCGTTAACGATAGTTTATAAACTGCGAGTAATCAATGGAAGTTATGAAACTACAGTAATTAACAGAGCTTATGAAATCGTGGATAATTAATGGAGGTTATGAAATCATGAGCAATTAACGGCGGTTATTAAACTACAACTATTTACACAAACTGCAGCTAATCAACAAAGGTTGAATAATAGTGGAGAATACAACAATTACCTACTATTGTCTAAAATGGCAAGTATTTAATGATGGTTTAAACTGTCGCCAATGTCGTGAGTAAACCATATTTTCTCGCTGAATAATGGATTTATTACAGTTGAATGTGTGAGGCTAATGATTGTATTTATAAGAGGATACATGCATGTCCAAATAATTATATTTTTTTTCAAAATTAATGTGTCTTTAAACATTTGTCCTAAGTCTAATGACTTGCAATATAAGACGAACGAATCAACTCCAAACAAAATTAATGTGTCTTTAAACTGTATTCTAATGCAAATAACACAAAACATATGGCATGACATGCAAACGAAAGGATTCAAAGTGGAAATAAAGGCAGGTTCTTGTTTTGTGGGTATAATATCAACTGTGATAGTTACTACAAGAGATTTTAATTCTTACAAATGTCAGGTAAGTGATACATATAACCCAAGTTAGATTAATATAATTACAATCAATTTAAATTTGTTCAACATGCTAATATATTTCTTAGAAAACACTGAATTTTGATTATTTTTCATGGAAATGATTACTCATAACTTTTCTTAATTTATTTTACTTTAAGGAATAATGTTAATTATACTACACTATTATTTGAATATCCATGTCAAAATCTAATTTTAACAAGTTCAAATGGATTAAGACAAAAGTATTTTAATGGAAACACTTATTTAAATATATATATATATATATATATATATATATAAAAATAAAAATAAAAATTTAACTTAAAATGTTATTAATTTTATGTTGTGTTTTTATCCATTTGGGAACATAAATTGTGAATATTACATGCTCGTATGCATAAAAGAGATTCTCACAATTGAAGAATATTTGATCCCATATATAATAAGTCACATGCATGTTTAATATCTATAATATTACTGTGAAATAACAATTTATTTTTCTCTTGCTTTGTGACATAATGCCTCCCTAACCTCAATATAAGTATTATAGCAGAAGCATATATATTATCTTAGCAAAGTTTAATCATTAAAATAAGTTTACACTTTTTAAGCTCTTTATTACAGCATATATATTAGCTTAAAAGAAGAGATGTTTTACTTAAAAGAAACCTTTTAAATTAATACAACTGTATTATTCTATAGCAAGATAACCAGTTTCTCTGAAAACGAAAAATATCATAAGTTAGCCCTTCTCAGCCGACATAAAATTGAAGGCTGAATCCTAGTACCATGTTCCAGCCAAATTAGTGTTGAATATTGATACGCGTGTGTTCTCTTTTCGAAAGTGTTGCTTAAGGAATATATATCCACATACTAGAAGCTGCAGTTGTGGAGAATTAATATCCATGACCAAGGATAATCCACTAACGGATAAGGTAACTATGTGGAAAATTCTCAGTGACGTTATGAAGCAGCTGGGATCATGATGTTATCGTCATCATTAAAACAACGTCATGAGGGTATTGCTGATGCTGGGACAGAATCAGATTCACCATTCCACTCCTCTTACAACTTGTAATACCACACGAAGATAGAATAGCACAGGTAGATATGATTATTGCCTTTTATAATTATCTGCATAACTTAAGATACAATTCACTTTCTATTTAGTTTTAAATTAATTATTAAATATTTTTCAGCTGTAGGCATAAATTAATTTAAATCACTTATTTTTGTTAAAATATGTACTGTATATTAAAAATAAGAGAATGATTTTTCAACTATAGAATAATTAAGTCCTCGGTACCTGTTTGTAATCACTCATTTTTATCAAAATTTTAGAAGATAAACAATTATTTTTTTGTAAATTTAAACCATTCTAAATATGTTATTAGTTCTAGTGTTCGTGTTTGTGTACCAGCTAGAGTAGATTCTTTCTATGCTAATATATAACTTGATTATAACTTGAAAGAATGATCAAGTATATTTGAACCTTGACTAATTCTATCCATTATATAGCAAGATTTTTTAAATAAAAGCAAACAAGACAGATGTGTCCGTAACATTATATACAATGAATCCAACCATTGTGGTAGCTTCTGCGTTTCATGCAAAATTTCTGTCTATAAAAGGATATATATTTTCTTTTATAAATATATTTTTATTTTATTTTATGATTTTAAATAAAATGATAATAAATTAATATAAATTTAATTTCGTAATCCTTTATTTCATTTTACAAACAATATATCTCTCTAAATTTAAAAGTATTTTTTTTAATATCAAACTCTACTGTCCTGTCTTATCTTAACTCTAATAAAAAAAAAGTGCTTATATTACTAACAAAAGAATAGTAATTTTATATTTTTTTTGTATTTATGTTTTACATTTTTTTCTCTTTTTGTCTTTCTCTTCTTTTATACGTCCCATAACATCTTTTATTTTCCTTTTATTTTTATTTTTCTCCCGCTCAAATCACACATTAACGGGATATGAAAGTATAGTTACTCTATTACTAAATTTAAAAAAAAAAAAAAGATTCATTGACAATCATAAGTGGGATGTGGAATGAAGGAAGAAAAAAAAAGTAAAAGATGTGATAGAAAAATGAAAAAAAAATAGAAAAGATAAAAATAAATAAATATAAAAGAAAATGAGTTTAAAACTATATTCTTTTTACTAATATTTAATCCTTTTTTATATGTGTATCCCACACTAATTAATTTAATAGTCATTGGTTATTGAGAGTGCAATCATTAACTTCTCAGCTTACGATTAATTTCTACAATTTTATGTGTATATTTCACGTAAAAGCAAGAATAATAATACTTTAAAAAAAGTCTTTTTAACTAGTTTCTGAAAATATGTTTGGGAGAAAATTTTTGAAAAAGAAAAAAAGAGATGACGTATTTTTTAATTTTAAATTAAAATTATATATTATTTATAATAATAAATATATTTTTAATATATTAATTTATATATTTTATTTTAAAAAAATTAATTTTAAATATATTCATTTAAAATATAAATTTTATCCTCACTTTCTCTATAAAACTTTTTTTTTCCAGATAACTCTTAAGAATTTTAGTTAAAGAATATTTTTTAATAAAAAAAAATGTTAAGAGTGCATTGAATAATACTTTTTATAATTTTTTTTCTTTTAAAGTCTTAACAGTACATTATTTTTAAAATTTCTTTGCTGCTATGTACCATAATCATCATTATCATTTCATGAATTTAAGGTTGATTCATTTATCTTGGGAATTCACGCGTAAAAGTGAAATGGAAAAGTTACACTCTGAAAAGTAGAATCATCAGCGGATAATAACATTATATGAGTAAAACTATTATATATAAAACCTTGAGTTCTGTTGGATTTGCTAATTAAAAATTTCATGAAAATTAAAATTTTAAGAAATTTATAAATTATATTACTTAAATTTTTATTATTTTAAAATATTTTGTTTACAGAATAATTGATTTTTTTTCAAATACTTTTATTTGAATAAAGTAATTAAATTACTTGCATTCTTAAAAAAGATTATAATTATTACTATATTTAGTAAAATTAATTAAAAATATAAAATTTAAATTAATAAATTAACTATAACAAAATACAAATATGAATGAAATTACAATAAATAAAAATAGTAATTCCAAATTCTTATTTTTTTTAGAATTTAAAATTCTTTAATTTTCGTATATTAAGAATTCTCACTAAAGTTCCTAAAATTTTAAATTTTTAACATTTCTTATCCAAACAACAAATTTTTAATCCACAGAATTATAATTTCTTTTATAAAAAAGACAAACTACTCAAAATATCTTATCCAATTTTAAAGTCAATTTACCTCCCCATACCTGGCAATAACAAGGACAACTCGTGCAGAAAGAATAACATGTATAAAAAAGAATTTATCGTAAATAATCCATTTCATAGTTCATGCTAAAGTGGACAGACTTGTGCACCATTTTCAACATTTTTGGAAAGTGGACAAAACAGCAGAACAAATTAGCTATGAAGTTGGATACTCTGCAGTTCATTTTGGAGCAACATGAACGCAACATAAGAACCACAACTGTGCAGTCATTAAGTTTGGTTTGATCTAGAACATTGTATCATATAAACATTTGTTTCAAGGATACTCTTTAATTTGCATTTATTAACTGCAGCTTATCAATTGGCTATCCTCTTTAATTTTAATCATATATTTTGGATTTTGCAAATTCATTCCGGTTCCGCTGAGAAACAAACAAGCACTGACATGATGAAAAAGATTGCTCTCTTTCAACATCTACTCAAACTATGATCTGAACAAAACAATAACATTCACACACTGTACAACCATAGTTTTGCCCAAACAACTTAATAGATAATCCAAACAAACTGCTACTATTTATTGACAACATTAGCATAATTATTGTATTTAACACATACAGCAGATATAGCATAACTCTCTACATCGAGTGCCAAAGTGGCACAAATTTAGGCTATTTATTGAATGGTAGTCGCTGCAGCCATAAATCATGTTTTATCTAAAATAGCAGTATATATGTTTGATCACTAGTCTTAAAACGTGTTGGGCTCTGAGTTTAATCGCTCATGCATTAAACGTTGTTGTTGAACCATAGAAATATATATTTCAGCTTTGGTGTCTACACTTTCATCACCAGGCTCACCGTATAACGCATCCAAATCGCTTCTGTTGTCTGCTACCACAATGCGAACTTTGGGAGTTCTCTGTGTGATTGCATAGTCCTGGCGCACTACGAACCCAACAGATGCAGGGGATGAAGAATAGTGACTTGGCTTAACATCTGTGGCTGTGTATTGAACGGTTGAGGAAGGCTTTGGTGCTCTATAGAAGGGTACCAACTTGCCTTTTAAGAACCCTCTGCTGCGCTTTCTGTTTGCCTCCATATTCACCAGCAAATTGTGAGGGCACAAGAGAACTGAAGGAGTGCACGGTGTTTGTGTTTAAGTAGTTCACTAACATGAGATTGTGGGTATATATATATATTCTTCTTCTGTGGGTGCACCATTGTTCTGCTGAATTGGAATCTAGATACACATGATATGGTCCCTCATCTAAAAATCTAGCTAGCAGCATAATCTCTTTAAACCCGTATTGGCTCACTAATTTATTCTAATTATTTATTAATTATGTTACATTGCGTTTTAAAATAAGTGAATCTCTTTCTAATTATACAATTTAGGATTAAATATGCTTCTGGGTATTATAAATATTAAATATTTTTTAATTATAATTAAATATTATTTATTTTTAGTTGCTATATTTTAAAAACAAAAGTACCGATTTTTTTTTATCTCTCGTCACGATTTAAGTTTTGTATTTTATGAGGACTAAATATAAATATAATTAATTAATAAAAATCAGTGTTGATTTAATAAACAAGGAACTTGATTTATTTTTAAGTAAAATTTTGAATAGAAACTCTATGAACAAAAACAAGAGTAAGGAGAGCCTTAAATAAGTTCATCTAGCTCGATTGAAAATAATTAAATTAAATTGTGACTTGTGGATAGTGAGGTTTTAAGCTTAAATATTTAGCTAAGAAAGGTGTAGCCTACCAAGCTCGGAAAGGTATCAGATTCAGTCTCGTTGGAGCCAAATCTCGTGAGGTTAGGTTGCATAGTGCACATATAAAGCAATTATTATATCTTTTCCTTAATATCTATTGGGTTTGTATTGATGATTTTTTGACAGATACTTGTAGCTAACTGCCATATATGAAAAATTTATTAGGTTTAATTTAGGAGTTTTGCGTAAAGGTTTACATATACATGGCTCCACACCATGCTTGATAGTTCAAACTTCTGATAGAGGGATTTATACTCCATCCACTGAGGCAAAGCTTTTCTACTATATTTATTTTTCGTAGAGATGCCTTTTGATTAATTATATATGTACCATCACCTTAATAAGATCCCAGAAACCTAAGAATTTGTTATCAGTGTATTTAAGGAAAATTGACTACATAAGCACTTTTTGGGGCCACTAACACGACATATGACCAGATCTAAGAGCAGCAGAAGAAGAAAGAAAAAACCATATCTTCAAAAAGACTGTAGAAAGCAAGATAACAGTGGTTGATGGATAAGGATAGCATCCTTATCAACACTTTGAATCGTTTGAGGGAGCAATGAACATTTGTTTTTTTTTTTTTCAGTTCTGTTATTCATTATAAAACAAAGTTATAATTTATTAACGATTTAATATTATATTAGTTTATATTAATTAATACCTTCTAATGAAAAATAAACTATTAGTATTAATATTTTAAGTTTGTATAAATTATATAATATATTATACTGATAAATAATTCTATTTGTTCAAAATACTTTTCTATTAACAATTTTGTATATGTTAATATATAAATGAATTTTTTAAAGAATAATTATCTTTAACTTTCTCTTATATTTTTATATTTTTCATATGCATATGTTTTTAAAAATATACCCTAAGTTGAAAGAGACAACATTTTGTCACCAAAAACCACTTTCCTTTTTTTGATATATAACACGAGCCAACTACTTACAATATATGAAATTTCCTCTTACGTATTAAATTAGAATACTTTTAAAGAAAACAATTTCATTGTATTTTTTAAAATATCTATTATTTTTAATTTCTCATATTTTTTTAATTTTAACTTTAAAGTCTTCTAAATTATATAAGAATGCATAATTTCTTTATAATTTTAGATATAGTTCTTAAAAAAATTATAATTTAAAAGATTTATTTGAAATAATTACACACATACATATACATGTATATTATATATTATAACTTTCAATACATTTCTTATTGTTAAGTACAAGGAATTAGAATCATAGGTTAAAAATGTAATTTCAATTTCAATTAAGATTGAATTGAAATTAGTTCTAAATCATAATTATTATAGTTAAATATACAAATAATTAGAGTGTATAATTATAGTTTTAAGTTTAATTCTAATTTTACTTTAGTATCTTCAATTAGAAATAATCATGGGTGAGTTATAATATTGAATTTGAGTAAAGAGTTTTGATATAAATATGATGTGAAGATAGTGCTTACATTCAATGGCAGAAGATTGACAGAGATAAATGGAGCAGTAATAATAATGATGATGTTAATGATTGGTTTTTGATAGGGATAGTGATAACGATAGTAGCAATTAAATAAAAAAAGTGATTGTATGGTAACGAAAATAATGAAAAAAGTGAAATTGAGAAAGGTAACACTAGGTTAAAAATTGTGTATCAAATAGTAAGATTAGAGTGTGTTTGACAAAATAAACAGATAAATTAGTTTAAAGCTTAAAAGTTTGTTAGAACTTAAAATTCCATTAAAATTATTTGATTAAAATAACTATTAAAATAGTTAATAATTAAAAATAACATTAAAAGAATTAACTTCTTAATAAGTATTTATAAAAAGATAAAAAGTTAAAATAAAATACAATTTTTTTATTAAGATAAATTAACTTATGTTCTTTTAATTTTTAAGAAACTCTTTCATTTAACTTATTCAAAATTCAAAATTCAAAATTCAAAATTTAATACATATAAGTTAATTTCAATTTATGAAATAAATTTTATTTATTTATTATTTTATTTGTTCTTCTCTGTAGATGCTTGTTTACAAGTTTATAATTAATAAATAATTAACAAGTTCTAAAAGCAGTTTTATTCACGAGTAAGAACTCAGATTTATAATATTAGAATAGATAATAACTCTTAAGTACATTATTGTCCTTAAAAACTCGTTATTTTTAGTTTTATTCCATAAAACAAAAATAATTGTACATTTTCAGTCCCTTGTTAGGAATTAAAAATAAATTTAGAAGAAACTGTTGTTATTGCATAGTATATCCTCCATCCATAATATATGTTTTATGCTATATATAATTGTTTATTTCTCGTGTTATCATGCATTTACGATTATCCTTCACAGATTTTTCATAGCACATCAAATGTTAATTTTTAAAATGGTATAAAAACTATTGTTAATCATGGTTTGAAAATATATTTCTTACATGTTGTAATAAAATTATATAATCATAAAAAAAAATTATGATAATTGTATGTAAACTTTTAGAGTAGAATATTATCATATGCGTAGGTAGTTGAAACATGTTGATATATATAGTTAATCATATACTTGTACAGTGACTGAAAGAGTTATCCATATTTTATTGTTGAAGTATTCGACTTATACCAGTTAAAAGTATATATAAATCTTTTAAAATTAAATAAATTATTATTGTTGTTGTTATGTCGTTGTGATCGTTTCCATCTACACAAAAACATAAGGGTTATGCATGTCAATAATTAATTTATACGATGGATTTTGCTTCATAATAACTTTGGTCCAGTTTTTGTGAAACGCATGAAACAAGTAGCTATCAACTCTGTGGATATGATATTGTGCCAAATTGTTTATTATCCACCAAGTTAATGAGGAATCAAAATTGTTCGAATTAGCAATGGTATGAGTTAGTATTAATTTCTCCACGAAAACTATTAAGCTTTTACAAGTAAAAATTATATAGCATGTGTTATGCATTTTATCGATCGCTCATAAATCATTGAGCAATTTTATATTTAAACTTTTGGAGAGCATATAATTGTCATGAGTAATTAATTGTCAACAGAACATATTCTTGTAATTAATTTTATGCGTATGATCACGAAATTCAATTGCGGGCCTTAGTGCCCCCATTTATAACAATAAAAAAGGTTCAGTTGCTTATGACATCTTCTTAGGTTTCTTGAAGGTGCCCGATTTGGAATATGTTCTGAAAAGATATGCAATTTTTAAAATAATTTTAGCTTAGTATAGACACATGTGGCATGTAATTCTCAGAACAGTAACTAGCTTAGAGGTTTGATGGGTCTCATCAAGCATTTAGTGATAGATGCTGAGTATAGTAATAATGCATGCTTGATTGCAACAGGGATGCAGGGTGAATGTGCTCGTGACTGTCTTATTGTGAGTTGGAGAGGCATCTAATTGTTGTAAATGGGAGCGAACTTTATGGGTTTCAACTTTAGTGTTTGTTTGTGTGTACTATTGCATTCTTTCTCGCTTTATATGATGGGGCAAGCAACGGTTGAGAAGAGTAAAATGGGCATGCCCACTTGGCTTGCATTGCCTTGCTTTTCTTGATCATGTACGAGACAAGAGACGAGAGTCTTAAAGTTAATCGTTGAGTACTCAAAGATAAGATATTCCAACTCAATGTCTAGTCGTACATCGCACCAATTCAAGTTGGTTATTGCTTGGATGCCTTCTTTCTTATGTTTACTATGATAGCTTTGAGCTTTTCACTGCTCACAAATATAAATTATCCATAGAACAACATGGTATTGGGTTTCAATTTAAATTTTAGTGACATGATACATAAGGTTACATTAGAAGCAAAGAGACCTATTTTTTATTCCATAAAGACCTGCCCCTTTCTTTCGAATATAATCATATCGTGTATGTCAAAATCCAAATCCTTTTAATTTGAATATTATTAAAAGTAAACTCCTTGACATTCCAATTAAATGTTGAATGGATAATCATGATTTTAAACTGAGATTACGATCTTATTATAGTTATTGAAATTGAGAAATATAGATTTTTTAATAAATTTAAAATATATATTGAAGAATAGATTTAAAGAGATGTAAATCCAATCCTCCTATTATTAATATCATTCATAAAATATAACTTTCTATCTAAAAATATATAATCTTTCAATTTATTAATCAATTTAATATTTTCAATCTAAATATTTATTCTTAAAGGAATGATTCTTATACTACCGAAGATATGGAGTAACTAATAGAAATTATTCCAGATTAAGTATCCTCAACAAAAGGTGTAACTACTTTTAATTATTAAAATGAATGACTAGAATTCTTGTAACAACGATTAACTTATGTTGAAACGTATAAATAGACGATTTGTAATTGT